TAGTGCTTTTCTGACTATTGGCCAGGTGTTTTGTAATTTTTCCATCCATTCTTTCAGCGAGGGGATCGTTGGTTCGTTTGGGGTTAATTCTGGCATGGGGTTGAAGCTTTGACCGGTGGCTATTTGAAAAGGAGTGTAACCTGTGCTGGAGTGGACTGCATTATTGTAGGCAACTTCTGCAAAGGGGAGTAAGTCCGCCCACTCGGTCTGCTGGAAACTAAGAAAACATCTTAAATATTGCTTAAGTACTGAGTTCATTTTTTCAGCCCCCCCATTTCCTTGAGGGTGGTGGCTAGATGTCAGTCCCTGAGTGGTTCCTAAGAGGGATAAAAATTCCTTCCAAAATGCAGACGTAAATTGCACCCCCCTGTCAGAGATGATGCGTTGGGGTGCCCCATGCAATCTGTAAATGTGTTGGATGAAAAGTTTTGCTAAGGCTTTTGCAGTGGGAATCTTTTGGCAAGGGATAAAGTGCACCTGTTTGGAAAACAAGTCCGTGACCGTCCAGACCACAGTATTCCCATTGCTTTCTGGCAATTCCACTATAAAATCCATGGCTATTTCTCTCCAGGGGGCTGAGGGACTTGCCACTGTTTGCAATAGTCCTGGCACTTTCCCTTGCAACCTCTTTGCCGTGGCACATTTTGGACAACTGGCTATATAACTTTCAATGTCCTTTTTCATGGATGGCCACCAAAATTGCCGTTTAATTAAATGTAAAGTTTTTACAAATCCAAAATGCCCTGCTGATTTTGTGTCATGGCAAAGGTGCATGAAAGTTACTCTTTGAGTTGTTGGTATATATAACTTTTCCCCTACCCAAGGCAACCCGTCTCTCATTGTGCACACATTTTTGTTTTTCTGGAACCATTCATCTGTTTCCAAGCTTTTTCTGAATTCAATCCCAGTTTGGCTGTCCAGTTGTGGTTTTATTTTGGCTTGGGTTCTTGTGGTTACTGGTGCTGCCAGTTGTGACTCTGCCATTATTGGTCTAGAGTCTGTGGTTCGTGCGCTGTTATATTGGGGCATGCGAGATAGAGCATCTGCCAGGAAGTTCTTTCTTCCTGGTAAATGTTTGAGCTTAAATTGGAATTGGTGAAAATGCTGGGACCAGCGGGCTTGTTTGGGATTGAGTTTCCTGGAAGTTTTCAGGGCTTCTAAATTTTTGTGATCAGTCCACACCTGGAAGGGGATTTTGTTGCCTTCCAGGAACTGTCGCCACGTGAGTAATGCCCAACGTATCCCATAAGCCTCCTTCTCCCATACGGGCCAGCGCTGTTCTGTTTCCGTGAGTTTCTTGGATGTATATGCACAGGGTTGCAATACTGCATCATCATTTTCTTGTAATAGCACAGCCCCCACTGCCACATCACTTGCATCTGCCTGTATTACGAAGGGCTTGTCCATGTCTGGGTGCCTTAGTATTGGTTCGGCAGAAAAAAGTCTCTTTAGTCTCTCAAACGCTGCTTGGCACTCCATTGTCCATGTTAGTGGCTGGCTAGGTTTTACTGAGGATGCTCCCTTCATTTTTAGTAAGTTAGTGAGGGGCAAGGCTATCTGGGCAAATGAGGGGATGAATTGGCGATAAAAGTTTGCAAAGCCCAGGAAACTTTGTAGTTGCTTTCTTGTGCGGGGTGGTGCCCAATTCTAATACTGCTCTGACCTTCTCTGGGTCCATTTCAATGCCCTGTGGGGATATGCGATAGCCTAGGTAGTCTATCCTTTCCTGGTGGAATTCGCATTTTGAGAGTTTGGCATATAGGTGAGCGGCTCGCAGCTTCTTTAAAACCGCTCTGACAAGTTTGACGTGTTCTTCTTTTGTTTCAGTAAAGATAAGAATGTCGTCCAAGTAAACAAGGACCCCCTTAAACAGGTGCTCCCTTAGAACGTCATTGATTAATTGCATAAAGACTGCAGGGCCCCCTTGTAATCCAAATGGCAAGACTTTGAATTGATAGCACCCCATGGGGCAGTTAAATGCAGTCTTCCATTCGTCCCCTTCCTTGATTCTCACGCGATAGTAAGCTTCCCTTAAGTCTAGTTTAGAAAAAATTTTCCCTTTCGATAGGTGTGACAGCATGTCTTTCATGAGGGGCAGCGGGTATAGGTTGCTTTCACTGATTGTATTCAGGGCCCTATAATCCACGCATAAACGTAAAGAGCCATCCTTCTTCTCTCTAAAAAGGACCGGGGCAGCCACTTTAGGCTTGGCTGGCTCAATGAAACCTCTCTCCAGGTTTTTTTTTATAAATCTTTCCATTTCCTCCTTCTCCTTTGGGCTCATGGAGTATAATCTGGGCTTCGGGAGTTTTGCCCCAGGCTTGAATTCAATGGTACAGTCTGTGGGTCGGTGGGGGGGAAGCTCATTCGCCCTCTCCTCACTGAAGACTTCAGCAAGGTCCCTATATTCCTCTGGTATTTCTGTTAATCTTTTTTCCTCTCCTATGGATGCTTTTTCTATTCTTGATTCTGGTAGCCTCCCTTGGGGTTTTAAGTCCATAGGGTCCCCCTTCGGGAATTTGATTTCTGTCGTCCTCCAATTTACCCAGGGGTTCCATTTTTTCAACCATTCCATCCCTAGAATCATTGGGCATTCCATACCTGGGGTCACCACAAACGTTAAGTCCTCTTCATGGTTGCCCAGGGAGAGATGTATTGGCAAAGTGGCTAGGGTAGCTGGCACCCCCCCTGCTATGGATCCATCTAGCTGGCCAAATGAGATTGGTTGTTCCAGTCTCCTGGATGGGACGCCCAGATTCCCCACTAGTGTTGGGCTAATGAGGCAGCGGGTACAGCCAGAGTCTATTAAGGCTTTCACCTTCACAGCTTCGGGCATGGGGGGGATTAATATAGTCACTGTTTTGAAGATGGGTGTGATGCATCCACTTACCAGGGGTTCGCCCTCCGAGCTGTCATCTGAGGCATCCACCGGCCCTGTGGTGTAGGCTGGAGTCCTTTCCCTTGGTGAGCAGAGGTGGGGGTTTCTGCAATTTCCATCATTCTCATGGCCGTTTCTTTTGGCTTAGCTGAATACTTTCCGGTTTGTTGATTGGGGATCTGTCTGGGTTGTGCTGGGGGGCCTTTGAGCGGCATTCTACAGCTCGATGCCCTTCTCTTCCGCATTTGAAACATCCCATTTGCTTCTTGGCTGTATCCGATGATTTCACCGGTTGGTGTGTCAGCTCAGGCGGGGGGCGGCTCCATTGTTTTCCTCGGCGGTGCCTCTTCAATATGTCGATCTCTGCTTCCTCTGCCAAGATGTACCATTCCTCAAGTCGATGTGGGTCCCCTCGGGGCAGGCAAGCATCATATAGATCATAGTTTAGTCCGTCTTTGAAATGGCCAAGGAGGATGTCTTCTGGCCAATTCAGTTTGCTGGCAATGGCCCGGAATTCTTGTGTATACTCAGCCACTGGGCGTTTGCCTTGCCTCATCGTTGTTATTCTTTCACGGGCTTTGCGATCAGCCAGGGGGTCTTCAAATCGTCTTCTCAAAGAGGACATGAAACGGTTGAAGTTACTGAGTTCTGGGGCATTGGAGTCATGCAAGTTCACTACCCAATCCGCAGCTGGTCCATCCAGGGCAGATTGCACGATCCGGATGCGGGCTTTGTCGCTGGGAATATCCTGCCCATATTCCTCCATGTAGCTGAGGACTTGGGTTAGGAAAAACCCCAAGCGTGTTGGCTCCCCTTTGAATTTCACTTCCAACGGTGGACGTCTTGGAATGGATCGGTGCCTCTGTTGTGGGTGGTAGTGCCTTCCGTCCAGATTGCCATCTGTGGTCCGGTAGGGGGTGGGAGCTCCTGGATCAGTAGATGTCCCTGGGGTTGCAGGTTCCATGTCCCCCTCGGTGTCTCTCCCTTTGCGGCTCCAGGAACTGGGGCGGCCGTAGGGTTCAGTATTCTCCTCTCCTAGGGAGCTGAGAGTTCTCTTCATCAGGTCAATAGCTTTCTCTAGGATCCAGTCTGAGTACGGTGCCCAGCTTCCTCCCTCTTCACTTGCGTGCAGGGATTTCTCCATCTCCTGCTTCCATTCTGGTTGCTTGGTCCCCCGTCTCAGGGTCACCTTTCTTGATTCCTTTCCCCACTCACTTTTCTTTCCAACGCCCATCGACCAGCGAGGCTTGTGGTCCTGTGTCTCCACCACTTCTTCTCCTGAGGAATCTGGCCTCTCGGATCCCAACATCTGGCAAGGTTCCAACTGGGTCAGCGGCTCTCTTTCCAGGGAGTTTTCCCCCTCTCTTGCTCCATTGTCTGACATGGTAAATTTTTGCAAAATCCCCCGGCAAGGGTCTCCCTTCCAGGTGGATTAATTTTGCAAGTCCTGTCTAATGTAAGGACCCACCCCACTTTGCATCTTAAGAAGACAGAACTCTTGGAATAATTCTTCCAACAGGAATCCTTTATTAAGAGAAAATGGTTGCAGGCATGCTAGACAGGACTTGGGGTTCAAGCTCTCCCATTCAAGGTTTTAAGGGGTTCCCCAGTAGTCCCACCCAATCAACCCCCCTTCCAGTGATAGTTTCAAGTATCACAATTCCACTCCCTTTCTTCTTTCTTCCGTCTGGATGGAGACTTCAGATAACTACATGAAAGGCAATTACTCTCCTTTGGTATGCTAACACTTCGAGGTTACAATAAACACACATTCAGCATTCAGCTCTTTGAAGTGTAAAGAAGGAAGTGAGGGCCATAAAGCCCCTTTGTTCTCCCCCTTCTCTCCCTCTTATGGCAGAATCCAGAGAAGGCAGAATTGGGAGTTTCTATATTTGATAATTTAAAGATGAAATATAATTGGATTCTGACACTCAGTACATTACAATAGTTATCCAGTTTCTATTCCAGATTGAAATTATGCCAGATTGAAATGATGGGCAACTTTGTTTCTCCCTGGAAAGACAGACAGAAGTCTGAGAGGTCTAATCAGCTTGTACTAGGTGCCTAATAGGATTAGGAAAGCAATGTGTTAACTGTAAGTCAAAATTGAAGGGGCATTCCAGTACAAAGAACCGCATCTTCCAGGCATTCAGCCAGATATAATTTTGGACAGCCTCTAATTCTTCTGGAAACAGAAAGTAAAGCAAAAAGTAGAAGTTGCAAAGAAGGAAGGTGAGTGAAACAAGTTTTAATGTTATCGGTTGTTTGCTTGTTTTTTGTTTTATTTCCAGTTAAGATAATTGCTTTAAAAAGTATTCTATTGTAAATGTTTGTTTAGAAGTGTTCCCACTTGCCCAGAAAAGACAAAGGCAAACTGAGGCAATAGCATTAATCTTGGGAGACTGTACTTGACAGTAACAGAAGTGAGTGTGGCCATTGTAACTTCAAAATCGGGCCATAAGTAGCTTTTGGGAAGGGTCAGTCGTAAATCTGGTCATTAAGCAACCATTTATAAGTTGAGGACTGCCTATAATCTAGAGAACCTAGATTTCAGGCTATATATTTAATACTGGAATATTTATAGAAAAATAGTACAATATTCTTTTTTTTCTTAAAGAGGAAGAGCACAATAATATGTCTGTTTGCTCATACTGAATCCCACCATACAGATTCAACTGTTTGTTCCTTCTTTTGGGTTGTTATTTGAATTAGAATCAAAAAGATAGAAATATGGTTGGAAGCATAAAAAGTTCAAAGTGCATTGGGTCTGTTAAGTACTGATACGAAGAGTTAATATGTTTTTGTTTAAATGAGTCTCCAACTGTTTTGGAGGAAAAACAAAGTTTAAGCATGAAAACACCATTTGAATATATTGGTCGCCGCCTAGAGGCGGCAAGTATAAATAGCCGTCAGGCTGTCTGTTAAGCCAGTTCTGTTTTCTGTTACAATAAATGTTGTTGCATTAAACCGGTCGGGTTAATGCCTCTGATAAACCCACTACACAACAGGGTTATTACTGATTTCAAGGTACACTCTATCACAGCTCAATAGCTGAAGCAATCACGCTATCCGGGATCATCTGACTAGATATGTGATCTTTCCCAACACTCTGTCTTCACTAGATCTCCCTGTTCGATCTTGTTTTTCTTGCTCTCCAGTCTATAAGGACATGGCAATGGACTCCTCTTCATCTTTACAGCATGCTTTTATTTTTATACTCATGGGAGGCCTGAAGGCTTTAGAATTGGACAAATACACTGCGGCAGTATACGAACATGTAGTCATACAGCCAGAAGCCACAATAAAGCCTGTTTCCCCTGAAGAGGCCTTAAAATTGATGAACCAGAATATGGACATCTTAGAAGATGCCATCCAAAAAGCAGCAAAACAGGTATTGGGTACTACTTGCTAAAATGCATTTGTGGGTAAAACGGTTGTCCTGCAAGGGAAGTAGCTTTAGCTTCACTTCTTTTGACAGGGAGCACATATCATCGTGACTCCAGAAGATGGCATATATGGATTTTTCTTCACCAGAGAAGCCCTTTATCCTTACCTTGAGGACATTCCAGACCCAGAGGTCAACTGGATTCCATGTACTGACCCTGAAAGGTATCTTGTGCTTTGCTTTTATGCAGTATCTGTCAGCTAAATAGACTGAGATGGATTTAATTTAAGTTGAAATAATTGTCAGAAATGAGCATAAGTATATCTTTATAGCAAACTTTCTCTATAGAGCTTGGGCAGTGCACATAATCTCTACTTCTGTCTCTTTAACCTCTCAAGGAATAGGATGAAAAATGGTATCTACTTCAAGATCCCCCAAAATGTTTGCAACAGAATGCAAATTTGAACTTAAACTAGCATCTAGCCAGCCTTAGCTGACCCAGTCACTGTTCCCTTTTTCTTATGTTCCTAGAGGGGTGATGGTGTCTCAAATAGGGTCATCCTAGATCTACACATACAGGAATGCTTAGCTTTTCAAGTTTAGTTAAAGATAGTTAACTGCTATCATGAAATTCAGCATGACTCCCAAAGAAAATTTTTCATTCAAAGCTTGCTCCTCCAGAGAAGAGCGCAAGCATGTTGGCAGAACCATTTCTATCTAGCTTGCTACCCATCCTCATCTCTTGCAGAGACCTTAAGAAACCAAGCATTTTTGTCAGTATTTTGCCCTTACTTAGCAATTAGTATTATCATTTTTTTCATCCCTGCTAAATTTCAATGCCTTGGTCAAAATTACATTTTGGCACAAGAAAAGGCAACATTCCACAACCCGTGAGACATCATTTGGGAAAAAAGGAAGTCTGGAGCACAGAATCACATTTAATAGAGAAAAGCAAAGTGAAAGAAAATTAGGAAGAAAAGATCTCTTTACAGCCACAAATTCTTTTTAATAGAATGAAATTATTTTTAACTACCAAGTATTTATTATAGCCATCTCTTATAAAAGCCACCAATTACTTATGAAATGCATAGAACACATTTGCAAGGATTTATGTTTTTTATTAAGAAAAGTCAGGGAGTCTAGATTTAAGCAATTTGTTGGCCTAGTAGTGCTATTCATGCTCTCATAATCAACCCAAAGATTCCCTTTCCAGTCTTTGTGTGTGTGTGTGTGTGTGTGAGAGAGAGAGAGAGAGAGAGAGAGAGAGAGAGATATTTATAAACAACCTACTAAATTATATTATTACTATTACTATGTACGTCTCAGTAGGGAACCAGTGCCAGAAGGATTCATTTCATCTTTTCCCCAGGGAACTGATGTTCCACTGATTGAAAGTGCCTAATTACTTCCAGCAACTTTTCCTCTTCAGTTAAAAAAGAAAAAAAACATAGAAATATAGCTTGGAGAGTAAAGAGTTTACAGCATCTAAAGCTCACCTATTCCAATCTCCATGGCTCTTTTTTCTTCTTCTTTTTCATATTTTAAAAAGAAATAGCCTTTTTTTTGAAAAAAAAAAAAAAAGAAATAGCCTTGCTTCTGATTTATTGCCTGTTTTGGTGTCTTTTTCTGTATTTTGTCCTCCAACATGGAGGTAAACTCCCAAAGGTCAGTTGCACTAATCCTTCAGTTCTGTGATTCCTCATATTTAGATTTGGACCTGCTCCAGTCCAAAAAAGGCTAAGCTGTCTGGCCAGGAACAATTCGATCTATGTGGTTGCCAACATGGGTGATAAGAAGGAATGTAGTAATGAGGACTCAAAATGCCCTGGCGATGGCCACTATCAGTACAACACAAATGTTGTCTTTGATTCAGAGGGAAAGCTGGTGGCACGGTACCACAAGGTAAGGTTACAAATTTCACAGTTTATTTTTTAAGAAATTGTTATTTCTCCATAAACCCCACAAAACACAAGCACATCCCCCTTTATGAGTTAATTTTATTTTAAACATCAGAGGCTGAATATATCCACTAGAGCATATTCCAACTTTGAGATTTCAGAAGGATAACTGAATTGCATGTAGCAAAAGTGATTTAGCATAACAGATATATAGAGTGGAAGAGAGCTTTGGGCATCCTATATAATGTAGTCCTAATTTGGCAGATTTATTTCCTTCCTTCCGTTCATTCTTCTTCCTTCCTTTCTTCACTTCCTCCTTCCTTCCTTCCTTCCTTCCTTCCTTCCTTCCTTCCTCCCTCCCTCCTCCCTCCCCCCTCCCTTCCTTCCTCCCTTCCCTTCCCTTCCCTTCCCTTCCTTCTTCTTCCTTCACTTCCTCCTTCCTTCCTCCCTTCCTCCCAACCTCCCTCCCTCCTTCCCTTCCTCCTTCCCTCCCTTCTTTCCTTCCTGTCTTCCTCCCTCCTTCCCTGCCTATTTGTCTTCCTTCTTTTATTCCTCCCTTTTTGGTTTCTTTTTTTATTACAGAAATGTAATGAAGATAAAAAATAATACAAAAGTCAAAATACAAGATTAAAATGATTAAAAATAAGCTTAAGAGGGTAAAAAAGCAAAATAAATAGTATTAATTACCTCAGCTTTTAATCTATTAATAAATATGGAAGCAATATTGTTTTGTCGTCTCATTTTTACAATATAAAGGAAGGTATTCCAAAATCAATTAAGAACAGGGGTGGGATTCAAATATGTGAACAACTGGTTCTCTGTGTGGATGCTCTTTCCAGAAGTCCATTCTGGGCCTGGCAACAAAAAATTAGCTACCAGTTCTGCCAAACTGGTGCGAACTGGCTGAATCCCACCACTGATTAAGAACCACATCTCTTGAATCCATTCTTTGGCACCCTGAAGCATGTTCTTTCCATTTAACTAAAATAATAATTTAGCTGAAACCTAGTCTTGATAGAGCCAGAGTTCAACTTTTACACAATATAAACTTCAATAGTTTTGGAATGCAATCCAATATCAGATTTACATATTAAATAATTATGTTTTCTCCCAGTGATGTGTGTTTATTCACGTCAGAAGCATCACAATTAAAATAAGGCATATTATATAACATAAAATTTAAAATACAGGTAGTCCTTGAATTATGACCAAAATCAAGCACAAAATTTATGTTGGTAAGTGAAACATTTGTTAAGTGAATTTGCCCCAATTTATGACTTTTCTTGCCACAGTTGTTAAGTGAATGTTTGCATTTGTTAAGTTAGTAACACAGTCGTTAAGTGAACCTGGATTCCCCATTGACTTTGCTTGTCAGAAGGCCACAAAAGGTGATCAATGACCTCGGGACCCTGAAACTGTCATAAATATGAACCAGTTGCCAAGCACCTGAATTTTGATCATGTGACCTTAGGGAGGCTGCAACAGTTGTAAGTGAGAAAAACATAAGTCCGTTTTGTACGAGCTGTTGTAACTTTGAACGGTCATTAAATGACTGTTTAGTGTCGAGGTCATTAAATAACCAATGTACGTTTAGGACTACTTGAATAAAATACAAGATTAAAATATATACACATTAAACAAATTAAACAGATATTGCCCAGAAACTAGCCACATTAATTGAGTTGCCATGAGGTACTCAAGTGTACATTGACTGTGACACAAAAGGCAGGTAGTCATATTTGTTGTCTGCATGTTACCATAATCTCACAGAACAGAAGCCACCATATATCCCCATTTGTTTAGAGTTTGTCTAGATTTTGTTGTACCCAATGATATCACATATGTAATCAAGATTATTTCAATGCTGAAACCAAAATTGAGCCCCGAAGGAAATATTTAAAATAGATAATAGCAAAGATTTGTTTTCCTTTTTTCATATTTGTGTGTGTGTGTGTATGTGTATATGTATATGTGTATGTGTATATGTATATGCATATGCATATGTATATGGGAAGCAGCCCAGTTCGAATCTCAGAAGGGTGTAGCTGACTGATAAGAGCTAAGGAGCTCGAAATAGCTATACCAGCTTCCCTTTAACTCTTTGTTAGCGATCCAAATTTAACACACACACACACAAACACACACATATATGTGTGTATGTGTTAAATTTAGATTGCTAACAAAGAGTTAAAGGGAGTTAACAATCATAAAAATGATTGTTGCAGTAGCGACTGCTGCCTGGGGATAGCCCTAGACTGGGTTGATACAGGCAAAATATTTCTTCTTCCCATATTTGGGGTGACAGGGTGCATCATAAAAAACAATCTCAGTTACATGAAGAAGAGCTTCCCACCTAGTGGGTGCTGATGCTACAGTATTAATAGGCCCAGAGGTTCCAGGAAAACAGGTCAATCAGAATTTTAAAAAGTTTTGGATTTCCCCCCCCCCCTCTTATTTTAAAATGTGTTACACTTTCACTTTCAATTAAAATGACTTGCAGATGTCAGTGTTAAATGCTGTTCATATGTTTACTGAAAAACACCTCATTTATTTCCTAAATGTGTTATCTTTTTAACAGTTTAACCTGTTTCAGCTAGAGCGTCAATTTGATTTCCCTAAAGAGCCTGAACCTGTAACCTTCAATACCACATTTGGAAAATTTGGCCTCTTCACTTGCTTTGACATTCTCTTCCACAATCCCGCTGTGGCCCTCGTAAGCCAGCTCTCGGTGGACACCATCCTTTTCCCTACAGCCTGGATGAACGTCCTCCCACATTTAACTGCTATCGAATTCCATTCAGCTTGGGCCATGGGCATGCGTGTCAATGTTCTGGCAGCTAATACTCACAATACTTCCTTGAGAATGACAGGTAACATACTGGTTGAGATAAAAGGATCGATTGGTATTTGTTTCTTTTTTTTTATTTAAACTTTTTTATTTTTTCCCAACTCTCCCCCATACATATACTGAGATATTTATCACGTGTTAACATACATTATCTTTACATTATTATCTATCAGATACTTTTAATAAAATAAAATAAAATAAAATAAATACGTACACACAGGGCTTTTTTTTGTTACAGAACACCCAGAACAGAGTTACGGCATCTTTTTTGGATGGAACCTTGTAGGGTAGGCAAGGCGGGTTGTATAACATGTGTAAGTTCCAGCACCTTTTTTTTTTTTTTTTTTTACAAAAAAAGCACTGCATACACATAAATTTTGCTCACCCATTTCCCCATAACGTTGCAGGATCCAACCTGGGTCGGTCAACAGAACCAGCGGTTTTGTCTTCTGAGCTTTTGGACTCTTGTACTGGAGCCCATCTTCAGGGAACTTCTCTCTAGCAGAGTGTGCACTTTGTGTGGTATTTATATGGTACAAGTACTTAGGAGGCGAAGGCTTGGCAGTAGAAGCAAACAACAGCCAATGACTTAATATCTAGTCATCAACACTCCAATCAACATCTAAAAAGTCACATGCAGCAGGCACCATATAAATATCACACACAGAATGGCTCAAAGCATCCACTCTGCTAGAGCGAAGTTTCCTGAAGATGAGCTCCAGTATGAATCCGAAAGCTCGGAAGACAAAATGGCTGCTCCTGGTGACTGACCTAGATTGGATCCTGCAGTAATAGCCAAGTTTTGCTTGGTTTCCTTGCATTGCTGATCATAAATACCACTTTTTTTTTAAAAAAAGTGAGAGCCTGGAACTCTACTGGTTCTCTTCCTATTCTATTCTTGCTCATCAAAGTAAAAAAAAAAAGGAAAAGAGAAAGCTTTTGGGTGGCTTGGGTGAATTCGTGGGTATATGAATACATTTCTTGGTCTTTTTTCAGAATTATATGTGTGTATTTTTGGGGGGTTTTCTTAAATATGTTTGGGGGTGGGTTAGAAGAAATAATGTATACTGTATGTCTTGCAAAGACAGGATGAGAAAAATGGCTTTTATTCTTGTCATTTTTTAGGCAGTGGTATCTACACACCATCTGGATCCCAAGCATATCATTATGATGATAAATCGATGAATGGGCACCTTTTGGTTGCAGAAATCTATTCCCATCCTTCTCGTTTTCCCACCTCTCTTCCTAGTATTAACTGGAGCTTGTATGCCACAACTATTGACCAGTTTCATGAGTACCCTACTTTCACTGAATTGCTTTTCCATGATCCATTCACCTTTTCTAAGCTTACAAAACAAGTTGACAATATTACAGTGTGCCAGAATAGTCTCTGCTGCCATTTAAGCTACAGGATGAGGGAAGAACCGGTACTAGAAGATGAACTTTATGTGCTAGGGGCATTCGATGATTTGCATGTGGCTGAAGGACAATATTACTTACAGGTATTCTTTTATTTATGGGGGAAAATGCAAGAGGAAAAGATGAAAGACTAGATGCCCACTAAATTTGCAGGCTGATGTCTAGATAAACTTCAGCACTTTATTCTCAACATCTTGCTTGGAATCTTAAGTATACTTTTTTAGTTTAAATAATCGATCCAATCGATCACTTTGTGGCTGCATCGTACACATGATGAATAAAGTCTCTATGAGCAAGAAGAAAAGTAAGTCCTAAATTTCTTATTCTTGGGAGAATGGATGGTAATGTTCCATCACACAGAGCTCTGGAAACTTTATTACCATGTCTTGTAAGAAACTGACACTGGCTGCCATAAGAATAGGATATTTGATTTCATCCTTTAATTATCTGGATTCGAATTAATGAGCCTTATATTCATTGAAACTTTTGGTGGCTGCCAAAATGGCAATCATGTAAGAATACATTGCATAAATATGTTCGGATAACAGTCAGTGGAAGTATTGATATCGAGTCAATAAGCTGTGAATATTTGGATAAAGGACCCTCCCAATGCTATGAGTATTTATTTTACACAGAATGCTGGCCCACCTGTACACTAAACCTGATGACTCCCTGGAGCCTGCCAAATGTATGGAATCGGAAGTTGTGTTTGAAATGATAGGTTATTTCTGTCAGGCTGAGGTCCACCATAAATTTGGGATTTTGTAATGAAATAAACATGCAACCATCTAGGAATGGGCCTTTTCAGTGGTGGCTCCCATTGTAGTATTCCTCTCTCAATAAGCTTTGCCTATTCCTTCATCTCACTATTCTTCCCCTTCCTTCTATGCTATTGACCTCCAGGCAGCTGAGAGACATTTTCTTTTTGGCATCTGGCAGAGATATATTTATTTCCCTGGCCACTTTAATCAACAAACACATTGATCTGAAACACATTTGCTAAACTTCTCTGCTGTTGCTGCTTTGATGTTGACTACATTTTAAGTTTATATATCATAGTTACTATGATTTAGTATTAGTTATGTTTTGAGCAGATTAATTCTACTAATTCTGTTTGGCTTTTGTTTGTTGAAGTTAGGGGAAATTTTGTTTTATTTTAAAAAAGGAAATATAAAAATGGCAGAAGATTTGGCAGCATGCAAATGCCAAATTATTTTTGAAGCTATCTTTTACTTGCAAAGGCATTGCTATCTGGGGAATTCTGGGAGTCAAAGTCCACACAGTTTGAAAAACACAAGGAGAGAGAGAGAGAGAGAGAGAGAGAGAGAGAGAGAGAGAGAGAGAGAGAGAGAAACTGGAATGTACATATCCAGCAAACCACAGGTAGTCCTCAACTTACAACCGTTCATTTAGTGACCTTTTCTAAGTTACAACGGCACTGAAAAAAGTGGCCTACGACCAATTTTCACGGTTACAACCTTCTTTTTCCAAATTTTATTTATAATACATTTAAAAACAAACACTTTAACATGACATTCCAGTATATACATTCTTATCAGATTATTCCACTTTTTACAATCAATTCTTCATCTCTACATATACAATACTTGTTCTAAAATAACATATATTTCTATCTTAACATTCATCTTTAATCCCGACCGTCCTCTTCAAATTCCTCCAGCAGTAAAATTTATCCCAGGTTTCATAATAAACTGATCCACATTTGTCTTTTAATATCATGACAAGCAACAGGGAGAAAGCAGAACTATTTAACTCATTTTTTGCATCTGTCTTTACACAAAGGGAAAAAACAGACCAACCTATCAAAAATAGTGCCATAAAAAACAAAACAGAAACACAAGTTAAGATAGGCAAGAAAATGGTTAGGGAGCACCTGTCCAGCCTAGATGAGTTCAAATCGCCAGGACCAGATGGATTACACCCCAGAGTTCTCAAGGAACTGGCAGATGTGATATCGGAGCCACTGAACTATATTTTTCAAAGATCCTGGAACACAGGGGAACTACCAGAGGACTGGAAAAGAGCTGATGTAGTTCCCATCCTCAAAAAAGGAAAAAAAATGGATCCAGGAAATTACAGACCTATCAGCCTGACCTCAATACCTGGGAAGATCCTGGAAAAGATAATCAAACAACGAATCAACGAACACCTAGAGGCAAACAAAGTCATTACTAAAAGCCAACATGGGTTTGTCAAAAATAGATCATGCCAGACAAATCTTATTGCATTCTTTGACCAAGTGACAAAATTAGTGGATCAGAGGAATGCTGTGGACATAATTTACTTGGACTTCAGTAAGGCATTTGATAAAGTAGATCACAACCTACTACTTGACAAGATAGAAAAATGTGGGGTAGACAGAACCACCACCAGATGGATCCGTAGCTGGCTGACCGGCCGTACTCAGCGAGTGGTCCTCAATGGAACTGCATCTATATGGAGGGAAGTGTGTAGTGGGGTGCCCCAGGGCTCTGTTCTGGGCCCAGTACTCTTCAACATCTTCATCAACGATTTGGATGAAGGGATAGATGGGGAACTCATCAAATTTGCAGATGACACCAAGCTGGCAGGAATAGCCAACACTCCAGAAGACAGGCTTCAGGTACAGAAGGATCTGGACAGACTTGAACACTGGGCACTAACTAACAAAATGAAATTCAATGGTGAAAAAAGCAAGGTTCTACATTTAGGCAAGAAAAACCAAATGCACAAGTACAGCATAGGTGGCACCATGCTCAATAGTAGTAACTGTGAGAGGGACCTCGGAGTCCTAGTAGACAATCAGTTAAATATGAGCCAGCAGTGTGCGGCAGCTGCCAAAAAGGCCAACACAGTACTAGGCTGCATTAACAGAGGGATAGAATCAAGATCACGCGAAGTATTAATACCACTCTTCAATGCCTTGGTAAGGCCACACTTGGAATACTGCATCCAGTTTTGGTCACCACGATGTAAAAAAGATGTTGAGACTCTAGAAAGAGTACAGAGAAGAGCAACAAAGATGATTAGGGGACTGGAGGCTAAAACATATAAGGAACGGTTGCGAGAATTGGGTATGTCTAGTTTAACGAAGAGAAGGACAAGGGGGGACATGATAGCAGTATTCCAATATCTCAGGGGCTGCCATAAAGAAGAGGGAATTAAGCTATTTTCCAAAGCACCTGAAGGCAGGACAAGAAGCAACGGGTGGAAACTAATCAAGGAGAGAAGCAACCTAGAACTAAGGAGAAACTTCCTGACAGTGAGAACAATTAATCAGTGGAACAGCCTGCCTCCAGAAGCAGTAAATGCTCCAACACTGGAAGTTTTTAAGAAGAGACTGGACAGCCATTTGTCCGAAATGGTGTAGGGTTTCCTGCCCGAGCAGGGGGTTGGACTAGATGACCTCCAAGGTCCCTTCCAACTTTACTATTATTATTATTATTATCATTGTGAGCCTATCCATTTCCGCACATGCTAATATTTTATGTATTAGCTCTTCCTCTGTGGGAATTTCCTTGCTCTTCCATTTTTGCGCAAAAGCAAGCCTAGCTGCAGTCAGGATGTGTAGCAGCAGGTAGATTGTTCCCTTGTCGTATTTTTCTGTCGTTATTCCCAATAAGAAGAGTTCAGGTTTTAACTCTAAGTCCAGTGTTAATATATCCCTCAACCATTTTCGTGTCCTGTTCCAATACTCACGAGTCTTTGGGCATTCCCACCACATATGGTAATATGAACCTATTGCTGTTTTACATTTCCAGCATAGGGGTGAGATGTTTGAACCCATTTTGGCTAGCCTTATGGGTGGGAAATGCCATCTATAAAACATCTTGTAAAGATTTTCCTTGTATGAGGTAGCTAAGGTGAGTTTCCTATTCCTTTCCCACAGTTCTTGCCAAATATGCAGGTCGATACTGAAACCAAAATCCCTACTCCAAATTAACATGGTCTCCTTAACCTATTCTTCATACATTGTCTGATCTAAAAGAAAATGATATATTTTTTTAATCATTTTATCCTCGGGACCTAATAAAATTTTATTTAGTTCTGTCAGTTCTATCTTTATACCCCACTCTTTTTTATCTTTCCTATATCTTGCTTGAAGTTGGAGGTATGCCCACCATTCTAATTCTATCCCTGCATCTTGGAGATTCTTCCTTGATTTTAATTCTCCTCTCTCGTCTAGTATGTTTTTATAGGTTATTACTTTCCCCAGCTGAATAAACCTTGGGTGTATGTACATTTCTAGTGTTGAGATTCAATTGGGGACTTGCCTATAGTTTTGTCGTCAAATTTTGATCCATACATCTATTAGTGCCCGTCTGACGTAGTGCCTCCAGAAGCACTGGTGAACTTTATGCTTCTCATCCCATAATATGGCATGCCATCCAGTCTGCATGTCATGACCGTCCAGTTTTAATAATCTCTGATTTTCCAGTCGAATCCAGTCCCACACCCACAGTAGAATTGTAGATTGATAGTATTTTTCCAGATCGGGGAGGCCGAAGCCCCCCCTTTCCTTAGCATCCTGTAATAATTTTAATTTAATCCTTGGTTTTTTCCCTTGCCAAATGAATTTAAGTATGGTTTGGTTGAAATTTTGAAAGAATTCCTTTTCTAATCTAATTGGTATACATTGAAATAGGAATAATATTTTAGGTAATATGTTCATTTTAATTACGGCAATTCTACCCAGCATCTCTGTAGCATCCCCATGTGATCAAAATTCAGACATTTGGCAACTGTTTCATACTTATGACCATTGCTGTGATCCCCTTTTGCAACCTTTTGATGAGCAAAGTCAATGGGGAAATCAGATTCATTTAACAACCGAGTTGCTAACTTATCAGCCGCAGTGATCCACTTAACAACTGTAGCAACAAAGGCCATAAAATGGGGCAAAACCCAATTAACACATGTCTCGCTTAGCAATAGATATTTTAGGCTCAATTGTGTCGTAGGTCGAGGACAACCTTGATATACTATGATGTATATAGCTGCAAGTCCTTGGTCGCCATGACACCAGGAATTCCTCTCATGCCAAGCTGAATTTGTGCCTTCATCTGCTAATTCTGTGTCAACAATCAGTCGGGCCTCTCCCCCAGCCACCAACATTCACATGAGTGTGTTCCACAGAAGTTCCTTCCTATGGAGGAAATTAAGACAACTGGTTTGCAGTTCCTTTTCTGATAGTAGCAACCTAGTTCCTCTATAATGAGTACTTCCCCAAGTATTGTTTTCTTCTCCTTCCAGATCTGCACATTGCTGAAGTGTGAAGGTACACACATTCAGACCTGTGGCAAGCCAGTCACTACTGCAGACTCCATATTTGAATTCTATTCTCTCAGTGGCACATTTAGCACAAACTACGTCTTCCCAGAGGTTTTACTCAGTGGGATTCGTTTGGCCCCTGGAGGGTTTCGGGTAAGGTGTTTTTTTTTAATTATAATTTTATTAAATTTATCAAAGTATAACATACAAATGAAAATGAAAGTAGTGGGGAAAACAGGGGGGAAGAGGAAAAGGGGAAAGGAAAAAGTGCATGATAAAGATGAAAAAGAAGGAAAGCATTGGCGTCTGACTCTTTTTAGCTTAGTAGAATATCATAATAACATGACAGCCCCAACCTCTTATTTTTACATACTTAATATTTCTATAACAACAAACTTAACTAATCAGCAAAATCCAAAGCCAAAGTTTCATTCCCCCCCCCCCCATCTCAAAAACAACATCCAGAAGCGAAATGTCTGTGGAGATTCTCAGTCATCCAAGTCATGGTTGTCCCAAAGGTGCTTTTTCAGGAGGCAAGTGGACTTTCTTGTTTTTTATTTACAAGGAATATAAATCCTTCCATTCCCCACCATCCGGTCACAGCTGAAGAAGCTGCTTGGATGAGAAGCAAAACGTCTTCAAAGAAAATCCAGTTGCCTCCTGAAAAAGAACCTTTGGGACATCCAGAAGCATTTTCCAATTAGAAACAAATTTGAATGTATTCTTTTCTTTGATTAGAGCAGTTGATTTAGCTATCTCTGGTAGTTCCATCAATTTTCCTGCTATTTGTCACTATTCTGGGAATGAACGTATCTTTCCGTTTTTGTGCATAAAACATTCTTACTGCTGTTAAGAAACAAGGCTCCACGTTTTTTAAAAGTTGTTTTGTCCATTAAACCTAAAATAAAAGTTCCTGATTTATTTTTTATATTCACTTTAAGAATCTTAAAATATGAATCATACCCCAATACTTCTTTGCTTTTTCACAAGTCCACCAAAGATAGTAGGTAAGGTGGTCTTTCCCATCTTAAGTATACAAATATTGTCAAGGTGATGTGACCCAAACTGGTCTTGAACAGAAGCAGTGCAGAAATTCCTTAATAAGATTCAGAAGGAGAAAGTGTCTTGGTCACTTCTTGGAAGCCAAAACTGAATTTTGAGAAAAATGTGGTTTCTCACTGTGGTGTCTTTTACTTGACTGCCTTGCTTGATATCTGAGTTTGTGTGGATATCACACATTGTTAAATGTGTCACACCTGTATAGATCAGAGATTGATCTACATCATATTTATATTTTGCCATTATCTACGGTTGTAATTAAACCAAAGTAAGCAAGCCAACGCAAAAGAATTGAGGCCTTTGAACTATGGTGCTGGAGAAGACTCCTGCAAGTCCCTTGGACTGAAAGGCATTCAAACCTGTGAGTCCTAGAAGAGATCAATCCCGACTACTCTTTAGAAGGCCAGATCCTGAAGTTGAAACTCAAATACTTTGGCCACCTAATGAGAAGGAAGGACTCACTGGAGAAGGGCCTAATGCTGGGAAAGATTGAGGGCAACAGAAGAAGGGGACGACAGAGAATGAGATGGCTGGATGGAGTCACTGAAGCAGTAGGTGTGAATTTAAATGGACTCCAGAAGATGGTAGAGGACAGAAAGACCTGGAGGAACGTTGTCCATGGGGTCGCGATGGGTCGGACACGACTTCGCAATTAACAACAACAACAAAAGCAAGCCAAAGAAAGTCCCGTATACATAAAGAATAATACTGGATTGTTTATATCAGAAGGAGGAAACTGTGTTCCTCCTATTTCGCTTCTTCAGGGAGCAAAGGGAATTGGGGGAAGGAGTGTTGAAAGAAGGGAAAACACCATCCATCCAGAGTCTTTTCTCTATTTAAAGTAGGAAGGACAGGAAAAAATGATGTTTTCTATGCAGCAGAAGATAGGTATCAATTATTTTCTTTTTGTATGAAATAAAGCTGTCCATGCAGCTAATAGTTATACTGTATTACTTAACTTGTTATACACCTAGTCCTTTATTTATAATCAGTCACTTAGCAATCGTTCAAATTTAAGACTGATCTTAAGGGCTACTTCTGACCCAGATTCAAAGTTCCAATGGCTGGGGACCCTTCATAATCACATAATCACATTTTGGGCATTTAGCAACCACACTGCTTTTACAGTCTTTGCCATGACTCGTAGTCACATGATCATCATGATTTATGAAGGGTTTTTTTTTTGCTACCAATCGGTATTCCGGTTTCCAGCAAAACTCACCCATTGTGGACAATGGGTTCCCTTAACAAATGTGGAGATTGCTTAATGTCCATGGTGATTCGTTTAATGACTGCTGCAAAAAGGTCATAAAATTGGGCCCGGTCGCATTCCAGGAACAATTATAGTTGTAAGTTGCGGACTACCAGCATCTGTATAGTGTAATCTCTAATTTTAGATTATGCCATATGTAATATGGAAGGATGCCTATTTCTAAATACTCAATTTTTAAACTGTCTTGTTGCGAGTAAGCAATTTGTATTAAACATATTGCATGGCTTCAAAAGCTGCCTGAATATCATCAAAATAAGAGCCGTCAGATGATGTTCGTCCTATGGTCCTACAGAGCTAAGCCCAGTTGCTAACTTTGGCTTCTCCACATTTATTGAATTCAGAGGTGGAAAACCTATAGACCTATAGATGTTGCTTAATTAAATCTCCCAGCAGCCCTAACCCACATGTCCACTGATGGGGGGTCCTATGATTATTTTTCCATCTTGATCCAAATTCAGTATTATGTACATTGACTAACTGTGGCTCTCATAGTTAGGAGTCTTTCCCAGCCTTATCCAAATATGTGGGTAATCACTCTGGGATCGTCTCTATACTATGTTATAAGAACTATGTCTCCTCTTAATCCCCTACTTTAAAAATGCCTTGACTCGGCTAATAGGAGAAATCTATACCTTATTTAACTAATTGTATTACTGACATTCTTTCATTCATTCCTAGGTTTTGAGAGATGGACGACTCATCAGTCAGAACAATATCTCTCAGGCCCTTTTAACTGTAACACTTTTTGGAAGATGGTATGAACAGGATTCACAATAAACCCACATTACCCAGTAAGGTTGAATCCACAACTCAATAAATCAGTTGCTTGATACTTTTACTGTTTCAGTTGTCATTTATAGTAACGTGATGGATAACTCAACTGAATGGCTATGCATTGGTGATGAATATCCAGATGCTATGTTTAATGTTGACAAATCCCAAGGAATACAATCTCTTGAGCTTTGTCCTAATAAAGATGCTACAATGTAATAGTTATTCTTTGTACAAGGTTCCTGGAAGAAAAACAGCTTGATATATATATGGATCATCTCAGGTAGAACTGCCTATCATTGATTAGGGCAGATATTTGAAGCCACTTTAAAGTTAGGATAGTTAGGATCCAGGTTGTACCAACTCCACCTCATGTTTTAACTCTTCATCTCAGATAGGAGACCCAGAAATGACCCAATATGTCCCCATTTGTTCTGGGGATCATTTAGCAAGAATCAGTTCTCTAATCAGAAGGAACCAGAAAATCAGACTTCCATTTTTTTTATAATCAAGAATGAGTAAAACTCAAACTGCTATAACCTATTTGTTTTTCATTATTTTCAACTGGAAGTGGGCTGGGTTGAATTATTGAGCCTGGCTTAGATTGTAATATGAATTATGTGAACTTTTTGATTTGAAAATGATAATCCATGCAAGTCAAAACTCACATAGTTGACTGTAGCCTTCACCCCACCCACTGTCAGGTGCTCTTTATTTGAGGCTATTTTAAAAATAAGATAATCATGTCCTAGAGGTGAGAGGAATTTTATGTTTGAGCAGTTCTTGCTGCTCTCTGAGCTTGCTTATTTTCTGATGATGTCACCTAGTTAGGGTAATGAAACATCTGCAAGAAAATAAGCAAGCTCAGAGAGCACCAAGGACCTCTCATTTCAACCTGAGCTACAAATATTCTCCATTAATGTTATATTTGTAAGAATTGAAAACATGTGCAATTTTAATTAAGGCAATCAATTGGCTTCTCAGATATTGAGAAGAATTTCTAAGTTGACATCAGTAATACTAATCTCCAAAGCACCTGAAGGCAGGACAAGAAGCAATGGATGGAAGCTAACCTAAGAGAGAAGCAACCTAGAACTAAAGAAAAACTTCCTAACAGTTAGAACAATTAATCAGTGGAACAACCTGCCTCCAGAAGCTGTGAATGCTCCAACACTAGAAGTCTTTAAGAAGAGATTGGACAGCCATTTGTCTGAAATGGTATATGGTTTCCTGCCTAGATGACCTCTAAGGTCCCTTCCATCATCATCATCATCATCATCATCATCATCATCATTATTATTATTATTATCATCATCATCATCATTATCATTATTGTTATCATTATCCTTCCTTTTGTATGATAATATGGCTATGCAGAAAAGGAAACTAAATATGAATAAAAAGATATGGTGAAACTAGGCTGAAGAAAAAATACCTATAGACTATAAGTTTATTAGCTAAGAAATTAAAAGGCTGACAAATCAATTTATGAACATTATGCCAGTTTAGCATGCTTTCTTAAAGAAAGAAGAAACTCAGTGGAAAGTGTTCCTGGCTTTGAAACATGAAAATAATTTACTATAGTCCTCTCCTGGCCAAAAAAAAAATCCCTTTCTTTTTGTCAGTATGCTTGCATAGCAACCTTCGGGTGTTGCCAGGATAAACAAGAAGCACCTGTCCACAGTGCTCTGTTCCTTAGAAAAGTAGTGCTTTCAAAACTATGCATAATAGCCTTTAACTGATAAGCTGACAAATCAAAGCAAATTCAAAAAATATTAGGATTATAAAAGGTAATTAACTGTGTATTAACCTGGAAAGATATCTCTGTTCAGAATAAAATATAATGGAAATGAATTGCTTTTGATATTCTGATTCAATGTATTCTTGCATGTGTGTAACTATTGTTAAATTTAATAGAGTTTATTTCTGAGTAGCACATTAATGTTTGTATTAAAGAGTTTGCTACACAAGTGGACATCTCGTTGTCATGGGACTTGCCTTCCTACAACAATGGTTTTCTTCCACACCTACTTCCAGATTTGAAGGAATCCATTCTGCTAAATGATACTATACTATTGGTAGACTGGAATTGCTGGTTGCATTTCTCTGTTTGTAGAATTGAATCATAAAACTGCTCAGTTCTACAGCATTGTAAGAAAGGAGACAAACTGGTTATATTTAAAACCCTGTCTGCAAACTGCTTTTAAAATGATTATTTTTGGAAACAACAGTGCAGATTTTGAGCAAACCATTGCCCAATTTAGCAATGAAATACTAATTAAATGTTAAGTATTATAAGCCCTAATAATGAAGGATGAAGATTAAATCTTGTGAACCTACAATAGTAATTTAAGAGTTATGGTAGTGTATAATATTATCATCAATATGCTTGAAATGCTTCTGTAATTTCGCAGTCCGGGGCAAACTTGAATAAATAATCATTCTGCAGATTTTCATCATGATTCATTTTAATCAGGAACAATCAACTACCTGACAGTTTTAAGTAAGTAGATTTCAATATTAAATTATATTTCAATATTTAAACTTTTCATAAACAGCATGAGAAATGTGCATGCAAATTACATGGTAATAACTGCCTATCTTTGGCATATTTATTTTTGTGGTCTTGGTACACATTTGATTTAAAAAAAAAACAACACCTATTAACATCCTCTATACTGCAAGCAAACTTGTGCCTGGAAAGATTTATCATCTGCTTATCTAGTCTGAATACTTAATACTGACGTCATCATGTTAGTTAAGACTTTGCATCAGGCTGCAAAGGAAATTCAGACTTGGTTGGACTCGGCTTCAGTTAATTGAGGTTGAATGGCTGATAAGTGATATTTTGGGCTATTTTGGATGGATTGGCACACAAGAAAACTCTTGACTTAGCTAATGAAAATTGTTTTCTGGAGGTAAGAGTTATTTCTGATCTGGGGATTTAGGTGGGACAAAAATGTTAAGCAAAAAAGTTTGCTTATTAGCAGCACAATGACAGAGCTGGACAGACTATTTTTTTATTTTAAGCCTACTTAAAAAAAAAGTCTAAGGTAGCAGCCAAAGAAGTTAGAGTGAGGCCACAATTGTAAAACTCTGAAAGTGTAATTAAACTCTTGGCATGAGAAAGTGGTTTTTAGCTTGCCCAGAATAAGATAAGTTTAAATTTAAGAGAAGATTTATAAGTATTCTATTTTCAATTTATTTAGGGATAACATTTGCAATATTATTTTTCTTTGTGTCTTTCAGTTTGTCTTGGGAGAGGGAGAGAGAGAGAGAGAAAGACTAGGTCAAAATCACCCAATTGGATTCATGCAGGAACTCACATTTTACTGGTTTCTAATCTGATGGCTTTAATGTTTTAATTTATTTGTGGGAGTAAGGATGGAATATAAATTATTTTAATATTTAAAATGCTAAAGCAGAATTATGTTACTCTCATTTTTACTGCTAAGTTAAAATGATATAATATTGATATGAATATCAATATAGATATATAATTTATATAAAGATATATAATTTGCCATGTTGGATAGCACAGAAAATATTTGTGGGAGGTGGGGAATACACTAAATATATTGTTGGAATGCACTATTGTACATACATTTTCAATCCATGCCTTAAAAAAATCAATATCCATTAATTTCAACTATTTTATTACTTGCCATGAAAATGCCGTAATATTTCAAAAACTTCCATTCCTTAAGAGAGAGATCTACACTGTATACAGTATATCCAAACATTCTGTTGTTTTAAAATTACATTCTATTAAGATGAAAGCTCTTTATTTGAAACTAGCTGAAGCTCTGGAAGGTCGAACTTATTAAGGCAAGATTTCTATTTCTCCAATTCCACTCCTTTACACGAGCTGGACTCTTACCAGTTCTCAAATTGAAGTCAATTATAATGTTTACAAATCACAATAATTGGATTCACATATTCTACTAGCCCCAAACCAAGAAAGCCTTATTATGGTTGAGCATCATAAGGGTAATCTGTAATCGCTATCACTGTAATTAATAGGCCAGCCCCCACACCCCACACCTATCTCTGTAATTAATAGGCCAGCCCCCACAGCCAGCATCCAGCCAATGCCTGAATCTGAATACACATTTTCCACTGATCATTTTTGTTGTCACACAGGCATGGGGAAATGATTTCAACTCCTTCCCATTATAGAAATAAAAATGTTTGTCTTTTCAGAACCAAAAGCAGTTGAATTTCAGAGAAGCTGGATACTGGGGCTAGTGAAAGAAAAGAAATCATGTTCTCCAATTATCCAGAAAAATCTACAGAAAGATGGAAGAAAATTCTAAGAAAGTGGGCAGGGAACTTTAGCTTCATCCTAAGCAATTAGTAATAGCAATCATTCAGAATTATGCATTCAGTTTAACCTCTGTTGTTCTGTGTGGTTAAGTCCAATGGTTTTGTCCCTGCTATTTTTGTTTTCGGTCCATGCTCAGTATTTTTATAGAATCCTTAACAGCAGAGTTTTTCTAAATTGTGGGGTAGATCAACCAATTGTCTTTTATGGACATTTTTTTTTTTTTGCAGTTCTTTCTTTTTATCTCCCTTCAATTTTAACTGATTTCTATTTAGCTCATTTCCAATTTATCTGGGATTACTTAAGCATTTTTGTTTATTTGTTCATTCTCTTTTTTAAACAATGTTGCATTTTATTCATCTCTTGTGAGATTAGGCTGTCTTTCCATAAAGAAGGAAGGATTTCCCTAACCATGAGCCTCAAACTACAGAACTAGAGATGTTTATAGAATTTGTCTCGTTATTTGTCTTCCCCACCCTTTTGCTTTCCAATAATGAACACAAGTTTAATAAGCCCCATCTCTTTCCCATGCCAAAATTAATATGAATGAGCATAATTTGATGGTTATGAAGTGCATCTGCATTTAAAGATGGCAGTGCTATTATTCTATACAAATAAGAGAGGCAATTGTTTTGTTACATTTCATCCATCCCATCTAGTTCAAGACAATATTTGTATATTTATTGATTAGAACATTTATAGTCTGTCAATTCCACAAGGAATTCTGACAATGTCTGTTGGATGTCAAACCTGATCAATAAGAACTTTTTGTGTGTCAGGAAATTAAAGCATGTTGTTGAAACTAAGAACAAAAAATAAAACAGTATAAAAATCTATTTAAAGCCCCAATAAGAAAAGTAGCCATATAGGTGTGCACAACTTACAACCATTTGTTTAGTGACTGTTTGAATTATGATGGCACCAAAAATAGTGACTTACAATCACTGATGCATAGTGTCTGTTATTATGAGGTTTTACCTAACAGCTATTTGAGAATAAAAGCTAGGAAATGATTAGATAATTTTGTGGGGTAGAGACTAACCATCAGACCCAAATTCATGTGAATATTAGAAATGAAAAGATAAAAAACAAAAACAGCTTGCAGGATCTGTTTTAAAACCTCAGTCATACCCTACATGCTGAAGGACTCCTTGAAAAAAACTGAAGGATTGTCATTTCTGTAGAGAGAGTAATTAGTAGTGCTCATCAATAGCTTTTCACAATTTATGTAATGTGCAAACACCATGCATGTTAAACAAGCATCTAGTAGTTCCATATTAACTGATCAAGCCTGTTGATCTGGCCTGTTTGCTCAACAGCACAAGCCACACTGGGCCATTCTGGGTGTGTGTGTGTGTCACCCTTTCTGTACACATCAACCATTTTGAAAGGAAACACAAAAGGGATATATTTCCTTCCCTTTGCAATGCTTGCACAAGATGGGTGACACATGATTCCTTTTGTTCATGATGTCCCTATAACATTTAATTAAGCAGTAGTTAAGATTTGCCTTTATAGTAGATAGAAAAGATTTTTACGCAGCTGCTTGCCTGACTCTCAGTTCCTGTTACCAGTTGTTTTCTAGTCACGTTGATTATTAGTGTGGTTAGTTCTGATTGCTGGAGGCCTTAAAAACAAATATGATGTGCGGAAGTATATACGCTTCAGAAGTGTGTTTTCCTTTTCCCGTCAGCGGAGCAGAGAAAACACAAATTATTTTATCTTAGGGGAAAAACCTTGTGAAAGAAAGGAAGGCAAGGTCAGAAAAAAGAAGATACAGTGGTTGCAATGGGGAAAGGAGGGAGCATCTGTTGAAAGTGAGAAGAAAAGATTTTGTGCAAGGCTGGCTGGAAGTTCTACACTATTTTCCCATTGCTATATAGAAACCCAAAGCAAACTACCAAGCTCAGAGAGCAGCAAGACTCTACCAAAATAAATAAATGTAAAACGGACAAATCACACCAGGTAGCATATTGTTTCTAAAACTATCTAAGACAGTGGTTCTCAACCTTTCTAATGCCGCGACCCCATAATACAGTTCCCCATGTTGTGGTGACCCCCAACCACTTATACATTACCGGGTGCCAGGGGCATGGCCAAAGAAAAGGGGAAAAAAATGGCAGACAGCCTTGTTTGGCGACCCCCGTGAAATGGTTGTTCGACCCCAAATGGGGTCCCGACCCACAGGTTGAGAACCACTGATCTAAAGTTATGTCCCCTACACTTATTGGACACAATTGGGGTACAAGGGTCTGCAGACGGAAAGTATGAACTACCTTGGGAGAAAGGGGGAGAAAAGATGCTGTCTAGGAAACAATCAGACAAGAGTGATAGGATCCCACTTATTGGTCAGAAAAACAAATTTAGGAAGGACTCACCCCAATGGATCAAAAGTTAAGAGAAGAGAAACAAAGATGATTAGGGCACTGGAGGCTAAAGCATATGAAGAACAGTTGCAGGAATTGGGTATGTCTAGTTTAATGAAGAGAAGGACTAGAGGTGACATGATAGCAGTGTTCCAGGATCTAAGTGGCTGGCCCAAAGAAGAGGGAGTCAATCTATTCTCCAAAGCATCTGGAGGCAGGACAAGAAGCAACGGATAGAGACTATTTCCTGACAGTTAGAACAGTTATTCAGTGGAATAACTTGCACTTGTGTGTGCCGTACAACACTGGAGGTTTTAAAGAAGAGATTGGACAACCATTTATCTGACATGGTGTAGGGCAGGGGTGTCAACAAAACCATGCCACCCCATTGCCAGCAATGAAAAAAAAGCCACGATACATCGCAACACATCATGTGATGTTGCGAGTTTGACATCCCTAGTATAGGGCCTCCAGTTGGAGCAGAGAATTGGACTAGAAGACCTCTAAGATCCCTTCCAACTCTATTATTCTGTTAAAAGCAGAGGCTGCATTCCCATTTGTGGCACTAGGGGATTTATCCGATGGCCTAATGTACTATGCAAAGCCAAATATTTGTCACTTATCAATTCACACCTTACTATGGTGTGTAAACTCACTGGCTTCACTTGCCTGTGAAGGCAAGAACTTTCTGATTTGCTCTTGCTAAAAGCATGTTATTGTTTGTTATGGCCACCCAGATTTGCCTTAATGTGACTGACTTCCTTGCCACCTTCAGTTCTACTTGTAGACAAATATATTATAAAGCCCATTTAACCTTGTGGCCTGCCAACTTCTTAAGTAGATAGTTAGATGAAGCATTTTTTTGTTATGATTTATTGCCAACCATAGTTGAGGAAGGAGATAATTTTTTAAAAAATGTTTAAACTAGCTGGTTTCTTTGCTACCATTTGCACCACTTATAACCTAGTAGCACAGCTTCTATTTAAGCTCTTGTATCACCCAGCTAAAAAAAAAAAGGGGGGGGGGAGGTTAAACATTCACAGATGTAAGACAGCTAGAAAATAATATTGATTATTTCCTCCTTTGGTTTATCAAATCCTGAGAAAATAATTTTTTAAAAAATATCTAGAATTAAACATTTCTGAATTTTGGCAGCACAGCAAACCACCAAATGACCCATGGAAAATTAAGGATGAATGTAAATATTTAGAGGGAGGCTGAAAAGCCTTGCTAATTTTAAGAAGGGAAGGTAGCAATATATCAACAAAATATGCCTTTTAGCTGAGGATAGCATCAAGCAATGCAGTATAGGCTGGTCCTGCTCTCAAACTAACTTTACCCAGATTCCTTCATTTGCAAAAAGCAAGGTTCACTGAGAAAGCCCACACAAATTACTCCCCATACTCTTCCTTACCACTAGTATCTCTGGTCTTCCTACAGATCCACTCTCATCTCTAAAATATGGAAATAGAAGGTTATCTCTTGTTATTCCTTCCATTACGGCAATGCAACTCCAGATGAGATTTGCAATGTACAGTATCAGCCTATCTTTTCTGAGACATTTCTTGAAGAATAACAAGCTCAGAATTGGGTGGTGCCACTATAGAAATAATTATTTAAATAAGTCATTAAACACAAACAAGAAAGTTCTCAGATTCTATATGTACAAGCTAGGTTGCGACAATAATGGATTAACTCTCTCTCTCGAATTAGCCCTCTCTCATGCAAATGTCTATCATTCCAAAGCATAACTTAGAGGAGATAATGAATAGTTGTTTAGATCAGCAATAGTTTTACAGGTGGTCCTCGACTTACCACTGGTTGCTTAATAACTTTTTGAAATTATAATGAACCCTGAACGGGTGTTTTACAGTTCATACAACATTGTAAAACATGGTGCCAGCTCCCCATAGCTGCATGACCACATTTTGGGTGCTTGGCAACCAGCTCACCTTTACAACTGGTTGCAGTATCCTGCAGTCATATAGAATGGAATGTGCCCCTGCAGGAGCAGCGGAAAAAGTTTTAGCAACACAGAATTTTCACAGAGAGAGGCCCATATTAAGAGACTGTGTAGTCCTGAGCCGGATGGGTGAGGGTTCAGGGTAGCCACATCCTAGAATCTCTCAGGATGTGGTACAGGATTATAACTTTAGTTTGGCAAGATTCTGTCCATTAGGAATAAGCAAATAAAAAAAATTAACTCAATCGGATTTTACTGTGTCATCTTTGAGTATGAGCCAGATATCACTTGACAGCAATTTGTGACATTGTTTTGCTTGTTTCTAGCAATTTTTTTGCCAGTTTCTGGCCAGAAATGCACATTTGGAAGAATTGGTTTGCATTTTCAACCAGGGCATTTTCTTAATAATTGCTGCAAAAAACAAAAGAGTCATAAAATTGAGTCTGGTCATATCAGTGTCTCAACTTACAACATAACTACTTATAACCAGAAATCCAGTCCCAACTGTGGTCATAATTTGAGGACTACCTATGCTAAGAAAGGAATGAGTGTGGTGGTCATATTCCAATTTCTGAAATGATTGGGGTTTTTTTATTAAAAGTTTTACAAATTTAATACAATACAATATAAACCCCTCCCACCCCTTCCCCCCTCCCCCACTTCCCAAAGCTGATTACAGGGTAACAAATAAACAAACATAATCTAACTAACATTAACCAACTATACTATCAATCAAAACCCTAACACACTCCTTTTCAAAACAAGTGTTAACAAATTATAAACTAAAATAATGATATAATTAAAACTATTAATAATTATCTAAAATCTACTCATATGCAAGATAATACTTTTCAGTTTCATATCTCTTTTGAATGTAATCAATCCATCTTCTTCAAAGCATAATATATTTTTCTTGTGAATGATCCTTTAAATAAGCAGAGATTTTCGCCATTTCTGCTAAGTTAGACACCTTAAGTATCCATTCTTCCATAGTAGGCAGAAAGTTTTTCTTCCAATATGAAATGATTGTTTTCCATCCTGGCTGTTTTTTTAGCACTCCTACATAAGGCAGACATAATTCCAGAACACATGGAGTGTTAAGGGAAAGACTTCTTCTTCAAATCCCAATAGCAAGGTAGCAAGTAAACAGCAATTAATTCTAAATAAGACTTAGCTGAGCAAGATGGATTTCCAAGTAGAGCAGGGGTGTCAAACTCGCCATGTCATGTGACCTGTCACGACATATTGTGACTTTTTTCCCATTGCCAGAGCTGGGGTGAGCGCAGTTTCGGCATGATGCATCCAGCCTGCGGGCCGGCAGTTTGACAGTAGAGCAGTCCAAAATCAAGATTTACAAAGCCAGTTCAAGGAAGAGATGAAGTCATAATGGGTCAACAAACTCTGATTGAAAGTGTCACGATAGGCAAGAGACCCTTTTTTCTACAGCCACTTAATACTCTTTGCTGAGTCTGCACAACTGTGGCCAAACCTTGCTGGTGAATTCAGCATCTTGCTGTTTGCTCATGAGTTGCATACTTCAGCAAGGTGCATAGATCCCAAGAGGAACTATTGGGGAGGGAGCAGGTGACTGCCTGGAGCAGCCTGCTTTGCAATTGAGTCAGACCCCAATGGCCATGACAGATGATCATCAAACCGGTGGTTGCTGCAGTGTTGCCAAAGTCCCACCCCTTTCTATGTGTGTGCAATGTAAGATCACAGTGCCATAACTGCCATCTTGCCTTTTTTGATCCCCTGCAGCTGCTTAGTCTACAAATAGTACATCTACACATTCACACATTTGTCATTCTCACTAAAAAACAATTTCTCAAGGAAAAAGTGAATAGAAGCTAAGAAAATATGGAATAGTTATTTCAGATCTTTTTTTGATAGCTGATCTTTAATTAACTAATCACTGTAGTGTCAGTTTCATCCAGATGTCTCCTTCATTTACTTAAAATGGCTCCATTTTGGTAATTGCAGTGATGGTTAATACATGTCACCATACTTCACTTCATTAGTATTCTCCAGAACATACATCTTTATGTCTTAGCAATTCATGCTGCTTTCATTTCTCAAATACTTCTGCATTCTATATTTGTATGACTAGCTTGTTCAGGCTGGCAAAGCCAGAGATGAGGAGCTTATGCCAGATATAAACAACCATTCAAAGCAGAGACTGAAAGAAGGGATTAAAAAAATAAAATGCAGATGAATAAATAAGGGATCCCAAAATGTTGCAAAAGTTATAGCTTTCCACTATACCATTAATTAGCAATAAATAACTGAGCATTTACCTTAAAATATTAAAAATCACTCATAAGTTCTAAACTGAGAAAGATTATCAAGAACTATGGTCAACAAAGTTTAAATCATAAATCATAAGTCTGTTTGGATTTAAATATCCTGTAAAACTGAAATATAGGCTGCATATGTAAAGAAACCTAAATGTTGAGTACAGTACAAGTCCATGAATGAAGTTGCAGTTTTGGAATGTTTTCCAGTTTGAGTTGAATTTTATATCAGATTTACTTTTCAACTAGTTATTCTAGATATTATAGCACTCAAAGCTAATTTGCTGCAGTGCCTGTCACTGTCCTTCCCGTTTGTGGCTAGTTGGGATGCCAGGTTGCTATGTTCTTTGCTGATCAGCGGTTGTCGTTTTAATAATCCTGGAGCTGATGGCCCATTAAGGCAATGAATCATCTTCAACCCTAGATATCCATGCTTCATGAACCCTTACATCTCCCAGGGTTTCTGTCCAGGTTGACCAGGCATGCTCTCCTAACTTTCACAACCCCTGCTCACAGCACAGCAAAGCTTTCCTTCACTGTCCTTTAAAAGAACATATTTAAATAGCAAAGTAGAAATATTGTTATCAAGGTGAACTATCAATTTGTTTCCTTACCACAAATTTCCATGGACCTACAGAGGAAGGTAGGAATGCAATGATAACCTGTTCCCTATTGTTTTGATTCATCAGAGTAGTGAAGGTATCTTAATGGAAGAAAAGAAGAAAAGAAAGGTTCCTTGTTGTATAACATGGGAAGGGGATGTGGAAGTATCCATAAGTGTAAATATCTGGGGAATAAAATGAAATAGGGATTAGTAAGCAAGGCAAAACAATTCCTATAAAGAAAAAGCAGTCCAGGCTGATCTCACTTGCATGAATGAGAAAGACCAGAAGCAGGGCAAGACCGATCAAGTCTAGACTGATTTTCTGAAGTAGGCTTAAGCAATAGCAGGAAGCAGAGAGTATTATGAACATCATTTTTTCCTACTGGATTTACAAAAGAGGCTTGAAGAATTCTATACAATGGAATAAGAAAAAAAAAAAGAAGGGGAGAGAAACCAAACCTTATGGCAACATTTGAATGAATTAAAGATTAAGACTGTTAAAAGTAAAAGAAAGTTAAAATTGATTTATTTAATCTAAAACAATAAATGTTATTATTTCTGGCAACTCTTTAAGGACCTTCCGCTGACATCAGAACCGAAAAGATGGTTTTTATTTTTATTTTTGTAATATATTTTATTGATTTTTTTAAAAAACATAAATCACTTAATAATTGGTGAACAGTGTGTTACCTGGGTTACATTTGTAAAACAATCATTAACAATTGATTTCTATAATCCATAATCCACATAATGCTTTTAGTTGATTTCTTCTTTTCCCAAAATATCCTCTTTTGCAAACATTGAGTTAATACAATTCTTATTGTTTTGATAGATAACAATTAAATATATAATTTTTTCTCAATATTCCTAAAAATAATAATCACATCAATATAATATTTCTTTTCTATCCAATCATTCTGGTTGCCTTATCATAGATCCTGTTACAGTCCTTATTTTACTTTGTTTCTCCTACCAAATTCTAGGTATTCTTATTGGTTAAGATTTTCTCAAAAATTAATTACATTTAAAAATGTAACTCTATTTTTCCATATGAACCATCTCACACTTTTACAGTTCTTAAGGAATAGATAAAACAATGAAAAAGAAAGAAAGAAAGGAGAGCAAAAGTAAAGAAACATAAAAAATAACATACTACTTACAATATATATCCCTCCTAAGCTAATATATATTTATTTCCTAAATTTATTATTTTTAACCATAATAAAAATAGGTTTAATTTTTAAACATTCCATTAATACATCTAATCATCTAGTCCTTTAACTATTATTCAAAACATTTTTTATCCATTATAATTTTCTTAAATTCAATCATACTTAAATATCTAAAACATTTCCTTTCTCTAAGTCATTTCAACTTTTTCATATTACTCATATCAAGAAAGAGAACAAAAAAGGGGAAAAAAGCATACTATATTATTTAGGGAATCCATCCTCTTAGAATGACATATATATTCCAAAACTTTTTCTATTACTTTAACCATATTCAAACAAATGTTTCTTTTTTAAGTATTCTCTCTGGTAAGTCCCATCATCTATTTTCTTGGTTTCCACTTTAGTCTTTTCCCTATGCCCAGTATCTTTCTTAACCAATGTATTTTGTTGAATCAAAAAGTTTTTCCATATGTTCATAAATGTTGCCGTAGATATAAAAAGTAAATCATGTGAAGTGTCTTTGTACGGGCTTCTGCCTTTCCATGTTTGTTGAAAATCTTTTTCTTTTTCTTTCTCTCCACTTCTCTTATCATTTCCTTTCTCTCCAATGTTCCTGACATCTCTACAGTCTATTTTATCCAATCTGTTTTCTTGTCCTCAGATTTATTTTGTAGTCTTAAGGGATAAGTTATTTTTTCCAATTCTTGTGAATTTTTCCCACTAGGATTAAATCATGTTTCCTTGTTTTGTTAAGTTCCATCTTTAAGTGTCTATTCTCAATTATATATCCATTTATCTGTTTTATCTGCTCCTTCTTTGTTGTTGTTTTCTGGGATTTTTTTGTTGTAGAATTAACTTAGAAATAGATTGATTTATATTTTCAAAGTTATTTTGGATTTCTTTGTAGTTTAAAGTCATTGTTGTTTGAATTAGTTGCAGTATACTATATATCTCCTCCTGTGTAGTATTTATGTTTTCTTGATATGTTCTTTCTACATGTCTCTGATCCATGATGGCCAAGAATTTGAGTTTTTCTCTTCCTTTCTTTTCTCTGCAAATAGCTTTAGAGTCCCAATTAAATAGATATTTGTAATCCAAATAGTTCAAAAAATATTTTTTTCCTGAAATTTATAATTCTCTCTTTGTCTACAGCCCAGATTATTGTCTTTTTTGTCACAGCTATTTTTTGTTGTTAAACCTTTGAAGATCACAGACCAGCTTTTCCCAGGTTTTGCCAAGTCTTAATATTAAAGTCATAGCTGTCATAGTCTTCATCCACCACTAGGTGTCAGCAACTATTTGTTTTTCAATTTCCAAAATAAACAATTATCTTTAAAATGAGAGTCTTAACCATTCAAACAATTTTATATTTATCTAGATTTAAGTTTTAAATTTCAGGTTTTATATTTATTTCACTTCCATATATTTTGATCCTCCATAAGAAGATTAATTCGCCACTTTGGTTAGTATAAGAGTGGGGTGGAAATCCCCCTCCTTCCCTTTCGGAGGTATTTTGCTTCTTGGGGATCTTTTCCGGGAAATTAAATGTAGAATAGAAAAGAGAAGATTGAATTCCTCACCCAGTTTCAAGCACGCTGTTCACAGTTGTGCTGGTTAGTGCTTTTGGACTTTGGTTGCTAGTAGCTTGGGCTTTCTCCTGTTGAGTTAGAAGGCTTTCCCCAAGTCGAACAGAATGGCTGCTACCATTCCAGAATTGCTGGAGCACCCTTCTTTCTTTGTCACCTCTCCATTTAGGGTCCCCAGGCAGGGTGAAATTAGCCGCAGAAGTGTGGAGAATCTGCAAGCCCATGACCAGTCGCTACCGTGCAAAACTGGAAGTCCTGAAAAGATGATTTTTAATGGATTTGTTTATGGATAAGATATGAGATTTGGATATCAGAACTGAAAAGATGATTTTTAATCCATTTATTTATGGATAAGAGATGGGATTTGGGATGAAGGGATAAATATCTGTAACCTTACAAAGGGTGAAGAGTCACCAAATTTGTTTATATTTGCTATGATGAAATTTGGAAGTAACTTCTTTATATAAATCTTTTCTCTTATTTATTTTATTATACTTTTCCCAATGAATCACTATGCCCATTTCATTGGAAATCAATCTTATGAAATGAAGTGTCTTCAGCAAAATTGGATAGGTTCTAGTTTTAAATTCTCAGAACTTTTAAACACTTTTAAAATAGCATCTCAATCAGTTAGGAAATAACCTCACCAAAAAGGGACACCTAAAATTTTGATATCCACTTTGCTTTTTAATCTTTTGCATTTTCACTATATGTATAATTTTAAATATTTATGTGGTCTTTTTAAATGAGAAACAGAAAATATTTCAGAGCAGATAGCAACATGTACTGCAGGGTCCTGAGAGGATGCTCATGTCTAAAGGGGGCCTGTCTATTCATAAAATACCTTATCATGGCCAAGACAATCAAGCTGTCAAACTCCGGACACTCAATGTCAATCTCAGCACACCCACTGTAATAAAAATAAAAGTCATTTGTGCAAGCTGAGACTATAGCTCCATTGTTGGAATGCCATGGCATGGCATTCCATGTTCCCTAACTTCCTTCTCTATGTGCCTCCAAGTCAGTTTTGACTTCTGGCAACTGTCTGGAGAAGTTTCTGCAGTTTCTTTGGCAAGGTTTTGTTAGAATGGTTTGTTATTGTCTCCTTCTTGGGACTGAGAGAGAGAGAGTAACTGGCTCAATGTCACCCAGATGGCTTTATGCCTAAGATAGGACTAGAACACCTATTTTCCCAGTTTCTAGTCTGATGCCTTAACCACTAGACAAAATAACTCTCTTCCTAGTCTCTGCTTCTGCTAAAAAATATAAGATTTTACTTTTGTTAATGATATTAGTGAAGGTTGCTTCTACTTGCATAAGATGAAACTTTCAGATATCAGTTCTGTCTCCTTCATTTGCTCATCTCAATTTTGTCCCTGCAAAATCAACTCAATCTTTTCTAACAATTGACTGGTTAAAGTCTGGCAAGCCAGAACTGGGTGAATTTATAGAGCAAGTCACCATTTGTATAGCTTTGGCCAAGAGAACTCCTTGACCCTCATCTTGGGCTAAGTCAACGGTCTCAAATATCATATTCCTGGGATCAAGAAAGGACAGGAACTAAGGAGAAATTTCCTGACAATTAGAATAATCAAATCAGTGGAACGACTTACCTCCAGAGGTTGTGGGTGCTCCAACACCAGAGGATTTTAAAAAGAGAGTGGACAACCATCTGTCTGAAATGGCATAAGGTTTCCTGCTTGAGCAGGGAGTTGGACTAGAACAGTGGTTCTTAACCTGGGCGATTTTCCCCTCCCAGGGGGCGATTTCATTTTTCAGGGGGGTGATGGAACGAAAAGGGGCAACGCGGGGGCGAAGGAATGAAAAGGGGGCGATATGGGGACGATGGAGCGAGAAGTTTTGGGGACACTTTTGAGACTTTTTCGTACAGTGAATGGCTGTATATCTGTCATACAAAAACATCAGCTCACTCGCTATTAGTGGATTGAATTGTGTTTTCAAATGTTCCTCCAGCTAGCTTCAGTACAGAACACCATACATATGTGAATACGCATCTTCATGCGCATTGCGCAGCAGCCTCTACCTATACAGTGGTGCGCTATTGGCCAGAATATGGGAGATATGGGAAAAAGACTGGAAATAAATTATTTGCATCGATATATCCTGATGACAATTTTAAAGAAAACAAAAAAAGTGCATAAATTGAAGAATTATTTCCTATATTGTGATTGAGAGGTTATGTTGGGGGAGGGGGGCGATGACAACTTCCTCATTGGCTCAAGGGGGCGATTCATTCAAAAAGGTTAAGAACCACTGGACTAGAAGACCTCCAAAGTTCCTTCCAACTCTGTTATTCTATTATTCTTATAGCAGCACCTTGGAGAGTTCCAAGCAAGCAGCCTATTCTAACAAAAATTGGAGGCTGCTGACACTGGGTAATTCCTGCTATCCAAACTTTGATGACTGAGATTTTTTTTCTGCTGTCTAGAATATATGGCAATGAAAAGGACAGTCATCCATTACTGGGCAAATGCTGTGGGGCAAGAAGGGATATGGGCTGAGATTGGGTAAAAATTGTTTTCAACAATCTAGCCTCAACTAGTATTTGATATGATTTGCATTTTTAATTTTGAATTCATCACAGTACTGCCTAGTCATGATGACTGAGTGCCAGTGTTCATTCTTGTTTTGGATTAAGTTTTGAATGTGGATCCTGCCTGAAGTCCTTCTGGCCAGCCATAAATAAAAAGAAAATCATAATAAATATACCAATTATCCTCTTCCCTCCCCCCCCCCCCATTCCAATCTATCTTTTCTTCACTGTTGCCTCATATCTCTTTCCTTTGCTTTGCAAAATATACTCGGCAATTTTTGCCTGTTATTTTACTTCCTTTATTTCAAAATCCCATTTGTTGAAAAACACTGAGCTTTCTGCTGTTCTCATTTACTTTACAAAGGCATCCTACTATTTAGACCAGGGATGGGGAACTATGGCCCTTTTATGACTGTGGCCTTCAACTCCCAGAATTCCTGAGCCCTGTTTTAGTTCCAGGGCCAGGATTGCAGAATGAAAAGATGACTCTGTCAGCAAAATAACATTCCCTTTCTGCACAATTTGTCTTCCAGTAATTTGTGCTATTTCTTAGAATAATTATTACATGGGAATCAGATCAGCTTCACATTCTTGAAGTTTGAAGGATTCTGTGTATGCTTGTGGGCATTCCTGACTAGGAATTTGATTGATTAATCAAACATTTTTTATAACTATAAAAAGGAAAATTGTTTAAAGGAAAGACATTGTAAGGATAGGTAAAGCCTAGAACATGGCTAGCTACATGATAGGGTCATAAGACTAATCAATTAATAAACTAATAAAGGCTAGCTACGTCATACCCAGAGAGACAGATCTGATAAAATCCTTGGGTGTTAAATAAACAGGGCTCTTTACAATGTATCAGAATATTATTGCATTGTAATCATGCATAGGGGAAGGTGCTGATACCATTCTTATGGTTCATTTCACAGATTTCACTTAGTTGTGGTTTATTTCAGCACAACATCCTGAATAAGCAAAAACCGCTAGCTCTACACAACACACTGAGTCAAGCAAAGTATTACAGCTTAATGCAGTGAACTTAGTGACATAAACTTGAGCAATGCCTTTCAGTAAAGCTATTCACTGCATTAGAATAAATAGGACAAACCTATTTAGGTTCTAAAACTGTGAGGGTTGAGGGAGAGTACTGGGTAGCTCTTTTCCCCTTGAGAAGTCATATAATTATTTCAGAGGCTTGCTTTCATGTCAGGTTTATGTCAGCATATCAGCTTGCTAAAATAAGATTACTACGGTATTAAAATATGGCAGCATCAATATAAAAAGGCATTGCTTCCAGAAAAAAAGAAAGATGGTGTTCATAAAACTGCAATTGTCTCAAGATTCCTTATTTTACCATTTTGTCTGTTAGTTATACAGGAGCAGGCCATAAATCACTGAATGTGTCTGAGCAAAGATTCCCAGCATATGAAATTGCTTAATCCATTGGGCTGGCAAATACACAACAGAGGATGCTGGATCCCCTAGTGGGTTGTTATGCAGAACTGAAGGTCAGTATTCAGGTTTTGGGATAGCATAGCTGTGTAAACCTGATTAGTCCTAAGTATTTTGATGAAAAAGTTGAAACATTGAACAGTAAATACTGGCCAATGGTGTCGTCATGCAACAATGGTTCCTCTCTTTACAATACAGCAGCGGTTCTCAACCTATGGGTCGTGACCCCATTTGGGGTCGATCGACCATTTTTCGGGGGTCGCCAAAGGTGGCGATCCGCCATTTTTCGCGGCGCCGTGCACGCGCGTCGCGCATGGGGGCGCCGCCACGCATGTGCGTTGCGCATGGGGGTGCCACCGTGCATGTGTGCCGTGCACGGGGGGGGCGTCACGCATGCGCGTCACGCATGGGGGCGGTGCTGCGCATGCACACCGCGCATTGGGGCCCCGCCCCCATGCACGCGGCGCCACACATGCGCAGAACGTTTGTGTGGCGGGGGTCGCCGTCACACAAACGTTGAGAAGCACTGCAATACAGTCAGGGTCACAAGCAAATGTTCATTAGCCTTCCCCTCTATTTTTGCCATCATGCCTTGTCTATCCATAGGAGTGCTTCCTGTTCTCTTTCTCTCTCTGATTTGGCATTCTAGTGATCCCTGAAGCCCAATCAAAACCAGGGAAATTTCTTTCTGCCCTTAATTTGTTGTCTTGTGAATCAAAAGATTAGGGTGACAATCCAGCAGAAGTTATGGATATAAGTAGATGCCATGTTATCACTGGTAGGAGACTAGCACTTTTTTACATGTATACGGTTTCCTGAATACACACATAAAGAGACACACATGGCAGGGATTAATGTGCTTTGCAGTTGAGAGAGAAAGATTTAACTCAACTCTAAATATTCATATTGTGCTTCCTTCCTATCCTTCTTGACAGGTGATGCTCCTCTGCAGGATGACCAAAGGCTAAGGAATTCCCGGCTCTTACACTGAAAGAAGATAGCCATAGGATTGCACATGTGATATCCACTGTGCCTGAGATGGGCTTGTATGAATCTGAACCTTCTGAAAGGGTGCAGCTGTGTTGTGAATCCATCAATGGCTCCTGCATAAAGAACAGCTGGTCAATGAGCATCCAAATGTCTATGTACATCTTCATGCTGTGTGTGATCCTGGCTACTGTGGCTGGCAATCTGGCAGTTATCATCTCAGTATCACATTTCAAGCAGCTCCACACACCTACAAATTTCCTGATACTCTCAATGGCCACAGTGGATTTCCTTCTCGGCATCTGTGTCATGCCTTACAGCATGGTAAAATCGGTTGAGAACTGTTGGTATTTCGGAGAGTTCTTCTGCAAAATCCACACTAGCATTGATATCATGCTGAGCACCGCTTCCATTTTCCATCTTTCCTTTATCTCCATTGACCGTTACTATGCAGTCTGCAACCCGCTGCGGTACAAAACCAAGATAAACACTTCTGTTATACTAATCATGATTTTTATCAGTTGGATATTTCCTGCTTTGTTTGCCTTTGTACTGGTCTTTTTGCAACTCAATTTATTGGGAGCAGAGGAAACGTTCCACAAGCTCTTCTATTGTGTGGGAGGCTGTTTCGTCTTTTTCAATGAAACTTCGGGTGTGGTGGCCTCCATGTTTTCCTTCTACATCCCTGGGTTTGTCATGCTGTTTGTCTATGGGAAGATATACATAATAGCCCAAAGGCAAGCCAGAGCCATTACAGCTGCTATGAGCCAAATACAGATAAGATTTGAACTACAGCATCATATCTCCCACAACAGGGAACGAAAAGCTGCAAAAACATTAGGTATAGTGGTTGGGGTTTTCCTCATTTGCTGGTCCCCATTCTTCTTCTGCACCATCTTGAGTCCATTTATGAATTATACCATCCCACCTATCCTTATTGATGCAATGGTTTGGTTTGGTTATTTGAATTCAACATTTAACCCAATTGTTTATGCATACTTTTATCTATGGTTTCGAAGGGCCTTGAAGCTGATTTTATTGGGGAAGGTTTTTCAGCCGGACTCCTCCAGAACTCAATTATTTTCGGAATAAACCGTACTGAAAGGAAGACTCAGTTCCTCAGTATTTTATTCTCCTCAGAGGTGAGGGTGAAAGAGCAGTTTAGTGTAACTTTGTACTCTCAGGTGTTACTTGTAAGTTTAGCAGAAATGGGTCATTAAAAAAAATGATAATAACCAAATAATATGTGTATATTACTTCTTTCTAGCAACAACATGGACTTTGGGATGGACATATGAAAGAAAGGCCTCTCCATACTGCAAGGAGACCAGGATGGGATACAAAAAGTAAAACAAATTTATGCCATATTGGGCTCTGGTGGCTGAATCTGTCTTTGCTTTTTTAGTACTTTTAAGCTGAGTAACTTTTAAGTTACTAACTTCTTTAAATGATCCTAATATTTTCCCAAAATATCTTCTGATGGTCTGCAATACCACCTCCTTTAGGCAAACAGCGCATTTGATGTCATATATTCTGTCATTTCTTTCAAAACAATCAAGAATTTCAAAATTTGCCTCAGCTGAGTAAGCTTTTTCCCCCTTTCTCTACTGAAGATTTCATCACAAATGTGCTTCTTTGGCATGGCCATACACTAAATAAGTAAATACATTCTTTGGCATGTTCTAGTTTACATAGTTGGTGGTAGGAAGAAATAATATCAACAAGGCCCATTCCACTTTACTTCATCCCCCTCCCCTTCTCATCCCCTCCCCTTCTCTTTTTGACGTCCTCCCCTTCCATCTTTCTTCCCCCTTCCTTGCCTCTCCCCCTCCCCTTTTTACCTTTTCTTCCTCCCATTCCACATATCTATTTATTCTCCCTGTCCCCCTCCCCCTGATTCTGACCCTGACTCTCAGCCTCACCCTCCTTCTCAGCCTGTCCCTCACCCTCATCCTTTCACCCTCCCCCTCATCCTCCCCCTAACCCTCTCATCAGCACCTTCACTCCCAACCTAAACCTGACCCAAACTCTCACCCTTCCTTACCCCTTTGAGAGTTGCCTACAAAAGGAAGGAAGCTTCCTCAGAGTCCAGGAGCCCTACAGAAAAGCAACTGATTTCTAGGAAGGCATCTTCACTCTGATCACTGATAACTGACAGTAACTGACACTTTAGCCTGCAGGGATGAATCATAAAGGCATTAGAATTCCCAAGGAGATGACCCGCCTCCCTTATCCTCCTATTAAAGGGCACCTGCTCCTCCACTTTGTGACCTACAGTATACCCATGCCACACAAAGATCTCTAGGAAGCTACCAATCCAATCACTAAAGCTGCCTATTTGTCATTTTTTTTTTTGCACGGAAGCCATAGCTCTTTGGATGAGGATGACCTCTTGTTATAGAAGTGCCTGCTGAGCAGCTTAATAGTCTGCTGTTTGCTTTCTAAAGTCAGGGGTTGGAAGCAGATTTGAACTGTGTTTGGGATGGCCCTTGAAATAGATTTGCCCCCTTGAAATCAACAGGACTGAATTTAACAAATCCCACTGATTTTAGCAGCACAACTTTGACAAACTTTGAATCCAGCCCATTGACTGGACAGACCAATAGATTTTAAATCAAAATTATTCAGACTGTCCCATTTAGACCCATTGCAATATATACCCTGCATTGTTTTCTGTTTGAGAAAAGGGATTTTTTTTTAATTTATAACTTTCTTCTGCCACTGTTTGAAGTCTCTGCCTTCCACTTTTCACCTTGTCTTATTTAGTCACTGAATCTCCTTCTGTTTTCTCCATCAAAGAAGTAGGGCACTGTTCTGTTCTATGCGTTGGTAAAGCATTGAGACGAGGCAGATGAACAACACATGCTTCTTTATTGAATCTCCAACAGAACCAAAACAAAATGGTGCGGATTCTTTATATACCCCTTTGCAGGGACAGTGTCAGCCAATCAATGCAATGGATTCTCTCACCTTGCATGTGCGCAATAGGCTGGAGACAGCCTGTCTGGTCCCAGGCAACCATGTAGTCTGCCCGGGGCTCTCTGCAACCTCCTGCACCTGCTGAGTCATTCGGCAGGCCGAGGACATAACAGGCACAAAAACAGTTGAGAAATGACGGTGGAAATGGAATATTGGGGGCAAATTAAGCTGAATGCAAACCTATCCTAGGGGATCAATCTGCTTGTGTGCATCAGTGACAAGAGGGTCTCCTGCTTGTGCAGGGGGTTGGACCAGAAGACCTCCAAGGTCCCTTCCAATTCTGTTATTTCATTACTCTGTCTTCAAAATGAATTCAATATTGAATTCATACTCAGCACCCAGTTTCCTTTGTGCAAACTGAGTCTGGGACATGATTACAGTAAAATGATATAGCTATCATGTCACTTATGTATCTGTTTCTGCTCTTCCAATACATGGCAACATTTACCAATGTCATGATGTTATCCCAGTGTGTGTTTCCTCTCCCTCTTCACTTCTGCATAACTGACTGTCATTAGCAGATCAAGGAAAACACAGCATAACTTGGGTTGCTGCTTTCCTCACAAAATGCAATCCTGCTCCTACCTCTGAAGGGATTGGGCCCTGAGATCTCTGGGTTTCATTTTATAGGTTCCTGGAACAGTCACCTTTTCATTAAACTTTCCACAATTAAGGTCTAACAAAGCTTCAAAATCTGTTGCTCAAAACAGGACAAATATTAATTTGACAACCTCTTCTGAAGCTATTCGTCATCAGGATCATACTAAAAACATGCAGAATAAATATCCATGGGTTTGTAATCTGGACGCAAAACATCAGCTATTGGTAATAATTTGATTATTCAGTGATTGTACCTGAAGCTCTGAGAGATCAGTTTGGATTTCAGAATTCTGAGTGAAAAGAGATTTAATTGCAATGTGATTCAGTTTTCTATACAAAAACATATCTATTATCACTGTAGTGTTTATCTCCAGCTTTGCATTCATATGTAATACATTTGAAGAATCGCCATATGATACAAACAAAAATAATCGTGGTAATCTTTCCAGCAAGGTTTAATGAGAGGGTTTTGGGGTTTTTTTGAGGGCTATTCTATTTTGCAAAGAAATGGATTTAACTGGAAATAGGTGCTAAGCATTTTGAAAGACTAAAGTAAGTGAGATTCCAGGAAGCCAAACTTACACTTAATTTTGCAGTTCTCAAACTAATGGGAGCTATATTGGAAGGAAGGCAATGAGACATCATTTTAATCTGGTTATCAGGATGTCTGTTTGGATTAGTGGATCCCGGGAATGAGGACCTGGTGCCAGTAGTTGATACTGAGAACATCTTGAGGATAAGCAACCACTTCTCTTGCATTAGAAAATCACCCACTGATATGCATGCAGCTCTACAATGTAATTTTGCTTGATTAATTTTGAAAGCAGTCCTCTGAACTTTGGCTCGAATACTTGAGTTGTCATCCTTTTAGTTCTACGAGCCAGTGAATAGGCTTTATTTTATATATATATATATATATATATATATATATATATATATATATATATATATATATATATTACATTCCTTCCAAAAATAGTTTATGTAAAGCTAACCACCACTTAAGTGTATACTTGAACTTAAAAAAAAAACCCAAAAACTTCTGCTTCTTGTTTCCGATTAGACAAACACTGCAGATTCCCAGAGAGCATCCTTGCCATCTGTTTTCAAAACACAAAGGCTCATTTGGGAGAGCAACATTTTGCAAAAGTCCAGCAACACTTAACTTCATTAGTGCCTTAATTACCTCTGTTGCATAGCTCTTGCTTATTATAGCCAAGAAGTACCCCAGAGATGTGTTAACAAGGTCTCTGGTTTCTATTGTAACCCAGCAGAACAGACAATCTGAAGCACTTGGGAAATAGGCATTGTCCAACTCTACTATGTTCATGTTTGCAAGGATGCAAACTTTGGCCTTCAGAGCATAATTTGCCATACCAAGCCTCTGGCTTTTGCTATCAACATCTCTAATTGCTACCCTCATTGGTCAGTCCCCAAAGAGCAATCCTCCACCTGCTTCCAATGGCTTTTCATTAGATGGCATCATATTCTTCACTTTCCTGAAAACTTTTGAATAGATCATTGAGAGCAGTGATCTGCCATTTTGTAACAGGCAGCCCTATTAGTATCTAGACATTCTCTTTAAGTTGGACATTCTTAACCTGGGGACTGCCTGAAGAAACCTGGAGACATGAGGTTTTACAGTTTGCTCAAAAACGAGCAAAATGTAAAATCTCATGTCTCCAGGTTACTGATTCCATGCAGACTTCTTGCAGATTTGGCATACTGCAACCCAATCGTTCTTCCACTGTTTATCGGCATCTTGCTTTTTTTCCCTGTCACTCTTGCCTTTCCTTCAGCTTTTCTTTTTGATTCTGCCATCTGGCTTTCTCTCCTTCTCTAGCTTTTCTGGCTTTCTTCTCTTCCACTCTTTTTCAGGGTCCAAGTAGACATATTAATTTCCCCCCAGTTCTACCTGTGGACTATATTTTCTGAGTTGATTCGGAAGAATCAGCATGGGAAGAAAAGAGTTAAGTCTTCATTCCCTCTTTTTTAACAGTGTCCTTTGTTGCAGGGGGTCTCCAACCTTGGCAATTTTAAGACTTGTGGACTTCAACTCCCAGAAGGTATAGTTGGCTGAGGAATTCTGGGAATTGAAGTTCACAAGTCTTAAAGTTGTCAAGATTGGGGACCCCTGCTTTGTTGTGTCTGTTATGCTCAGAAAGAAGCTCTCATCCCCCAAAAGCAGAATTCCACTCCTTTTCCTCATTCTCATTTCCAAGCAAGCTCAATGGTTCAACCCCTCCCCCCACTTCCCCAATTCACATATATAATTTACTGTATTCTGGGATTTAAATCATGGCCCATCATTAGGTTTCACTTCCACCTTTCCTCCAGGAGGTGAAAGAGGAATAAGCTGCACACAGCAGTTCTTCCTCTGACTTTCATCACAGCAACAACTCAATGCCCAGCACCATCCCATCAGTTTCATGGCTACAGATGGATGAACGTAGATCCCCTACTGCTAGTTCAATAACTATACCTCTACATCACCTTGGTTATAAGAATTAGGATGCAAAAGTTTTGCCTTATTTAGTTCTCTAATGCTGCTAGAGCAGTGGTTCTCAACCTTTTTAATGCTGCAACCCCCAACCGGTCGTAAGTCGAGGACTACTCAACTGGTGCAGCACCGTTTGCAGAATGGGACTTTTGGCGGGCTCAGCAGGGCAGAGACAGCCTGGACAATTCCTATTGGCTTTTGAAAGACAATAGAACTAGACTCTATTCAAGAGACTCTATTCTATTGGCTTTCAAAAGCCAATAGAATAAAAGGGAGTAGCATAGCTAAGGAAAAGGGGGGGAAATGGCGGACTGCATTGTTCGGCGACCCCCGTGAAATGGTCGTTCAACCCCAAATGGGGTCCTGACCCACAGGTTGAGAACCACTATGCTAGAGAAATGTTTACTGCCTTTTGTGGCTATCCCTGGAGTCCCAAAGGGGATTATTTATTATTTTTATATTCTGTCTTATAGCCTTCAGAGTTCAAGGTGGCCTACTCAGGATTTCTATTTATTTTATCCACACAATAATAGTCTTATGAAGTAGATTGAATGAGCTGATATGAAAGAGCAATGAGCTGAAAATAACACAAGCAAATGGAACAAATGCAAAGTTCTTCATTTAAGAAAAAGATTTGAAATGGAAAAGGCTAGGATGGAGATAACTGACCTGGTAACAATACTTGTAGGCTCATAAAATCACTGACAGCCTAACAGAATGGCTTTAAGAGAACAGGAAAGTAGGAATGCAAAGAATGTAAACCAGCATCTGTCACTATGAGGACTAGAGATAAGAGGAAGTCAAAGTCTCCTTCTCCATTTAGGTGGCACCAGAAAAGAATGTGTAATGTTTGAGATGTGTCTGAGCATTCACTGGATAGATAGATAGATAGATAGATAGATAGATAGATAGATAGATAGATAGATAGATAGATAGATAGATAGATAGATAGATAGTAATTGTTTTTAGTTTTGAACACAAGTAATGTGAATTGAATGCAAAAAAATAAAAAACAAAACAGATGCAATTTTAGGTTGTATCAACAGGGTTCAGGTTT